TGTCGATGTTGTTGTACCTGTCATAATTGTTAATGCTGTTGCTTGAATACGTAATGTACTTGGTGATGTTGGTGGAGCATTTGTTGGTAATGAATGATATGATGCTGCTGTTGGAATATTTGATTTCGTTAATAAAGATGTTGATGGAGATGAATTTTTTGTTGGATTTAATTTTTGTATATCAGTTAAACTATCACTTTTTAATATTTTAACTGATGGTGCTGGACTAGCTTGCTGCTTATTAAGACCAAGAAGATCATATGATGATTGTACTTGATCAGAATGTGTTAGTGAATTATCAGAATTATTTGCTGGTAATGTACTTGGATCAACATTCAGATCATATAAAAGATCAATTGCTGTAGCTTGTACAGGTACAGTTGATATATCATTTGGAATTGTTGGAATTGAAAATGGATTAATAAGATTAATACTTTTTGAATGTGTTATATTATTATTATTCAGTGATAAATTTGTTGTTTTATCTTGAATATTTTCAAATGGATCAAATGAAGGTGCTGGTTCATTGGCATTATTTTGATAGGCATTCCAATTTGTTGATGATAATGCATCTTTTCCACTACGAAATTTATTATTTTCGTCATTTGATGCTTCAATTATAAATGGACTATCATCAAATCGTTGTGAAGATGCAGATAATTTCATATCAGTTGATATACCAAATGGATCCATTGTTGATGTTGATAAATTTCTATCAGTTGATATACCAAATGCATCCGTTGTTGATGTTGTTAAATTTTTATCAGTTGATATACCAAATGGATCGACTGTTGATGTTGTTGATGTACCAAATGGATTATTTGTATGATTATCATCTGAACCAAATACATCAGCAAATGTACTAAACATTTTTTGTTTTCTATTTTATTTTAATTAATAATTGATCATGACGTGATTCTAAAAAATAAAAATCAAATGTGTTATTATTGTAATAGGAGAAAAAAAAGAATCCGTTTCGATTTCTTATTAGAATAAGAAGAACGCCAAATGACAACGCGATTGACGTCAACGCCTCCGCATCATTTTCTTTCTTTTAGGCTGTTTTCTGTCTCCCGTTTTTTTTCTTCTTCTTCTTCTTCTTTTTCTATTCTTCGTTTCCTTATTCAGTTCGTTCAACTTGCACTGTTAAGTAAACAATAATAACAGAAAAGAAAGAACGATGAAGACAAAGCTACTACATGTATATACATCCATTAGCAAACAGAAGAAAGATGGCAAACAAAGAAGTTTTCATATGATTGGTTATAGTCGGCATTTTTTTATTTGAATAAAAAATATTTTATGTATTTTTATCATTATTTATAGATTTTATTTAAAATTAAATGATGTACTTTTTAAAAACTGATAAGTTAATTGTTTAATAGATGTCGCCCGTGTGTTAGAAAACATTAGTGTGCATGCGTGACTTTTTTGAGGGAAAATAGTAACATATAACGTTCAAATATATATTAGATTTAGTTTTGATAATCATTTATACTATAATTCTACCTATAACTTAGTAATAGCGTAAATTATTTTATTGTTATAACTGTAAATATATATATGATCGCTCTTGATAAGAAAAAATGAATTCTATTTAAATAAAGTATTTATTTAATTCAAAGATTATTTTTATTGAATAAATGTAAAAATACATTTTTCGAACAAATGAAAGAATAAGAAGATCAGTCCCAGAGTAGCAATGATTTAGGAAATTCTTCAATCTTCATCAAACCATATTTTAGTTCGATTGAATAATACTTTCTAAATATAAAATAAATCGTATTTTTTTTCTAAATATTTTTTTGAATAGAATATACAAACCTGTAGTTTTTGTAGTTTCTGTTCTAATAATCCAATTCGTAAATCTTTAAGTTGATTTTGTTCTTGTAATTCAGCAATTTGTTGTCGATAAGATTCTTGAACAGAACGCTTAAAGAAAGAAAAAAAGAAAAGAAATGATTTTTAAAAACAAATCATCATGAATTTTTATACTATTTTATCATTAATTAATAATTCAATATCACTTATCAAATCATTTGAATATGTACGTAACGACTGAACTAATGAATAATCTGATGATAACATATTTGGATCAAGCAAAGGTTTCTCTTGACTATCACAGACAAAATTTTGTAAAGTAGGAGGTGAATGTTGTAATTTTGATCTAGTTTTAAAAAAGCCAAGTCAATGAATTAATTTTAAATTAAAAAAAAGTATTTTGTATTTTTACTTTAATGATATTGCTCGATTCGAACGACATAATGATATCTGTTGATTATCATTATTTACATCTTTTTCACTTATTTCTTGTATAGATGTAAGAATTGGTGATGCTGATGGTGGTGGTGGTGGTGGTGCTATTACTAGTTGTTGTGTTAAACATGATGCAATTGATGTTAAAGTACTAAATGCACCTTTCATTTTTTCTGCTGCTTCTTTTTTTGCTCTTTCAAAACCAAGTCGATTTTGAGCATATTCATATAATTTACGTTCAGCTTCAGGATAATCTCGACAACCCTCAAGAACATCTTCTTTTGATAAAGAAAATAATTCTGAATAACCAACACTTCGTACATCAGCTGTTCGTCGATTAGCACCATCAATATTTAAAATTCCAATTTCACCAAAAAAGTCACCTGGACCCAAACGTGTCAGAACATCATTTTTTTCACTAGAAATATTAGATTGTTTTTTTACTTAATCACTGATTATATTTACTTGACTACTTCGAGAACACCATCGGCTATAATAAACATTTCACGTGCAACTTCACCTTTGCGACAAATAATGTCTCCAGGTGTAAATATATATGCACGCATTTTTAAAACAAGATCGTGAAGAAATTCAGGTTGACATTCTTGAAATATAGTTACCTTTTTTAAGGTTCCTAAATTCACATGCAACGCTAATTCTGTTTTAAGTTTATCTGGTAAAAGTTTTATTGAGTGAACATCACCAGCACCCGACATACGACCACGTGACCATGAATAATCATACCAACGTTGAACACGTCGTTGCATTTCAGCTGGTACATTATGTGAACGCATATATTGTTTTGCACTATCCTAAAAGATAATAAACTTTGTTTGAAATAATGTCTTGAATTTTATTTTAATTCTAACCAATAAACGTTCAAATTCTAATCGACTAGCATTTCGATTTGTAATAACATTTCCAACTTGTCCTAATAAAAAATAAAAATAAATTTTTCAATAATTTTATTTCAATTTTACCTATAATTAATGAATAAACAAATATTCCAATCATATAACCAGTAATAGCAAAAACAGCCCTCAAATATAAATGAACAATGTGATGTGTATCTGAGTAATTTATCCATAAAATGCAATTCTTATTTGTATATGAAAATTATTTCTCAAGAAGAACTCATTACTTTACTTTCTTTTTAATATTTATTATTGCTTACCCACGATAATAGCTATGACGAAAACAGCGAACAAGTGAACGCTTATAAGAAAAGCGTAACTAAAATAATGAAAATAGTTTTTTTTGTTCAGATAAATTAAATTCTACATATTGAGTAGAATACACTAAGCATTTATATTTACCGTTTGTTCGAAAAATTTTTGAGCCATCTAGCTTTTGAGAATAGAAAAAAGAAAGAAAAAACAAGACGAACAAGAGAAATTTTAAAAACTCTTAAGACTATATAGAAATAAAAGAATCTACTCACTGCCAATTCGTTTCTGGTGGTGGTAAATCTCCAATAGTTGTTAATGTTAATGTTGACCAATAAAGACAACGAAGATACATTCTTGCTAATTCAGAAAAATTTCCAACAGGTTTTGGATATGACCAATATCCAACAAAACCTTCAGCTTTTGATACCATAAAATAAAATGATGCTAACCAATGTCCCAATAAAAGTAGAATATGAAGAAGATTCATAACACGATATGTATTTGGATAGACCGTACGTGATTCTTGATAATAATAAAGTTGAAATGTTCGATAAATTTTTAGAAAACGTGGAAAACGAAGAATTGGTATTGAACCAAATTTAATTTGAAGTAATTCTAATGGTGTTAACGATAATATATCAAGTAGAAAATTAGAAGAACGTATGTAATTGATTGTAAGTTTGTAATGATTGTAAACAAGTAAACCTAGAACATATTTTTTTAAATAAAATTGTTGATTTCAGTACCGAAAAAAACAGACGATCCGACGATAGAAAATATAAATATGCAATTAAAAAAAATCATTAATTTTTAATTTCTATGTCAACTAATTTATACTTTTTGTTTGTAAAGTCAATATGATTAAAAAACTTATTAGATTATTTTAGTATACCTTGTTCAAGATAACCGGTACGAAATTGAATAAAAATATCAATAAAATATATTGAATCAGCTATATAATCCATAATTTCCCATATTTTCGAATAATCTCTTTGTAATGGATCGAATGCTTGACGTGCAATTGAAAACCAAAGATTATATAATACAAAGATATTTAATATAATTAACCAATAGAATAAAAATGATTCATCTGTTGATACAACAAAATAATTACAAGTTCGAAGTATTCGTCGTACAAATTTATAACGTGATTTAATAGGTTCATCTTTTTCCATATTTAAATGAAAATTTCGTTTAATGGGATCTTAAATATAAAGATTTTGGGATTAATTTTTATATAAAAAATAGATTTACCCATTGCTCCCATTCCACGATAACCATAACGATTGGAAAATTTTTGTAAAAACGAATCTTCACGTTTTAATGATTTGTGTGATTTAACTGCAGTCATTGTATGTCGATGAAGATTCTATTAGAAGAAAAAAAAAATATAATATATTTTATCATTTAAAAAGAATAGTTTTCGTTTTCTTCTATTAAAAAGATTATCACCATGTGTTTGATATCATTGCGTTCGATTGAATCTTCTTAATTTTGTCGTCGTTGTATAATAGAGAACTCTTTGCATTTTTTTGTTCATTTAAACATGTTTCTCAAACAAGTTCTTTCTCTTATTCTATATGTTTTAAGTATAAGTAAATAATAGCAAACAAATGTTGATAATTTATTTCGGAATTCTCTATCATACTCAATTAAATGAAGAGCAACGGGCGTAATGTGAAGATGATGAATAAGATGTTGAAGAAGAAGAAGGAGAAGTAGTAAAAGAAGAGGAAACAATAGATTTCTCTTTTTCTATCAAATTTATTTCTATGGGTTTGATTAACGACATAAGACTCATTCATTTATTCATGAATAAAAAGATTCTTATATCTATTCACTATAATTCGAAAAATAAATATAATTAATCAAAAATACTCACATCATCAATAGATGATGAAGACGACAATTGATTAGCAACAATAGATGCTTTGCGCAGGTAATCATTCGTATTTAATGCATCAGTTGAACTCGGTTGTTGCTGTTGCTGTGGTGGTTGTTGTTGTTGAGATGAATATTGAGGATATGATGATGATGAGGATGAGCAACCGCCGTCTTTATTAAGTAAATCGTTTAGTACTGGAGTTAGAGCAGCCAATGGCATGTTAATTCTATCAGGAGATCAGTGCTGAAATAAACGTCATGTTAAAGACTTTTAGTTTTTTTTCTTTTTCAAATGACATTTCACGATTGACAGAAAAATATTCGATTATATATTGTTTTACTCAATTATCTATATTAACATTGAACGAAGAAATGCCAAACAACAACTTTATTCCTTCTTTCCGCTTCGTTCATCTCAACTTACATAAATCTAAATATTAACATCACTCCAAGGACGTATAAATTAGTTCAAACATATTGCAAAAGACTATCTGTCATGATCAGTCATAGTTTACAAAAAACATAACATGATATGTTTATATCATTCTCATTTTACCTTATCTGTGTTTTTCTTTTCTTTTTCTATTATCTTTATTAATTAATGAAGTTTTTTTAACTTACCTTAATAAAAATTATGTAGTTGAATGTATTCATTGATGTTTGTCAATGTATTCGCCGTAGCTTTCTTCTTGTCGTTTTTCTTATACAATAAATTAGTTATATGCTCAATGACTCTTCTTGCTTTCTATCTTTTCTATGCATTCTTAGTCAAGTAATCTTATTCAACCTCAGAGAAAAGATAGAATAAACTTGTGTTTCTTTTTTTTTATTCAGACATGCATTTCTTTTGAACGCATAAATGAACAGAGAACGTTTTGTAACACGAAAGGAAACATATAGATGATATAGAAGTTTCTCAAAACTATATCAGATTAACTTTTCTCCTTAAATATATTTTTTCCTTAGGCAAATTTTTATCTGATGACAACGACAATTCATTGGTTTTTCTATAACATAGTTATTTAGATCGATCTAATATATAAGTCGAAAGAAAAAAAATAACAGAAGGGATGACTAAACGGAAATTGTCAAGTTAGTTAGATTGTCTAATATATATACACATGAATTATTATAATAAGTAACAAGGATAATTCGAATTAGAATGTGCATGTAAATCAATTGAACCGAAGCAATGTCATTTTACATCAAGATTCGCCTAAATAAGTATGAAACAGTGCAGAAAAAAAAGAGAAAGTTATGCATAATCTTTTCTCTCGAATAACTAATGAACAACAATAAGAAAATGTTTTGTCTATTCTATTTAAGCATCAGTATTATAAAATATACGAACTACCTACCTACACATTTAATTAAAATATAAATAATCAATATAGAATAATAATGAATTAGATTTTTATTAAAGATAAACTAATTTCGAAATAATAAAACAAACAGACAATATATAGCATTTTCAAAAAAAAATTGATCTTATATAGATTAAACCATATGTTATTGTTTCTTTATAAAAATACAATTATATCATGATACATCACCGATATGTGAACGTAATAATGTTTGAGAAACACAAATACGATAACGTCCACGTGGTGTTTCACGCATTATTACACGAATTGGACTTGATTCATGAACGGTATCACTACTTGTTGAAGAACGCTAGAATAAAAATAAACAAGGATATATCGAATTCGTTTTTGTTTTATTTTTTTTACTGCATTAGTTGGTGCTAGCACAGGTTTAATATCTATATTAAGATAATCAGTATCGGGTGATAATGATTTTTCTGATGGAAGTTTAGGTGGTGTTGTTGAAATTAATGAATGTTGCCGTTGATGAGATATATCAGATATTTTATCATTCGTATGACTACTTATATCACATGGCTTTAGACCATATAAAAGCACTTTACATACAGTCATTGTATTCTACAAAATAAAAACAACATGATTTTTTTTTGATTCAAACGTTCAATAAATCAACAGTTATATGGCTAATCAAACAAAATTTTATACTCAAAATATAAAAAAAATTCGACCTTGTCTACTCCTGTTCTCTATATGTAAAGAAATGACAAACGAGAAAAAAAAACTTTTTTTTTCTTTTCAGTGTTGGGAAAGCAACAGCTTGTCTTAACTATGATGATGATCATCATCATCGTCACTAACAAGAAAATGAAAATAATAAAAAAAAAAGACGAAACAATATATGTACACGTCTGTATATTTATTCTAAAATTGATTGTGAGAGAAAAAAAAGGAGAATGAAAAAGAATAAAAGAAAATTACAGTTTGTTCAATTTATTTGCAAGAGAAAAAAAAAGAACAGAAATGCTAACCTGTTCTATGCAATCACAAAAGAACAGTTGTAAGAAGAAAAGAATTTACCTCATTTAGATTAACAATTACTTTTTTTTTCAGTAGTAACATATGGCGTAAAATATAATTGAACAAACTATACCATCGATTTCTCTTATATACTATTCTTAGACAACCCGTTCAAGGTTTTTTTTAGTGTATGCACTGTCATTTACATGAAGAGTTAAATACATTTGAGAGCAAGTTATTTCTCGTTAACATATCTTTCTATTCAATGACATGATTGAGTATCTCATAGATGAGTGTTTAATATAAAATGTAATGTGTTCATGTACGTGTTTCTACCTGGAGAATATATACAATGATTAAAAACAATGAGACACATTATTTTATTCTTATTTGAATTTATACTTCACCTGCTTTGTCGCAACTACTTGTCACATTAGAGCTCTATGTTAATATATGTTTGTGTGCGTAGATTGGATGTTTTATATAGTTGTCGACAAGATAAAAAAAAAAGAAGAGAGAGAGAGAGAAAACAGAACAAGAACATTGTCCTTATTTGCGTATTAACATTATAATAATTTTTAATGGAGCTTATTTGATATATACATCAGAAATCCAAATAAATCTAATCATTCAAAAGACATCTGTACATTTTTATATGTCAATATAATATATAGGTGAGGTATTTGAAGCAAATAATAAATATAAAAACAGAATTATTAATACTAGCTTAAATCGTGCGATAATCGAATAGTTTATACATAATTTGAATTCAGTAAATAGAGAGAAGCAACTGATTTTACTCATCAATTAGAATTAGATGTAACTTACCATATTCAAGGTAACCAGACACGTTGTTTAACCTTCAATCAAATAACTGCTTATAAAAAACGTATGAAACTTTTTTTTGATAAGTGTTTTAAGTTAAGTGTCACAAAAAATTGTTTAATATATAAATAAAAATGCTAAGAAATGTAAAGTGACTTTGAAATATTCTTCTCCATCTCAATAGGATAATTTCAAATAAATACTTACACAAACAAAAACATATATAAAAGAAATAATAAAAAAAAGGTTTGTTACGCATAGGTATAAGAGATAAAACTTGCGTTTAAAGTATTGTATACTTGATTAATTCAAAAAATCCTTGAATATATAATACATTGCGAAATCTTCTATTCTTGCCACATAAAATGTAGAAAAAATACAATAATCTTAATTTGCTCTGTAATATATGTATTGAATTCTTTATTCTATTTTGAAGCATTTTTTTATTCTTAGTTTGTAATATGTTATGACTAGAGAAAACAATAACCTTCATGCTTACGATATCTAAATCACGTTATGGTTATGATTATAGCATAAAGACGATATATATATTAATTATTCTAAAATATGAAAATGTCTAAGTTGATTCTATAGGTTATTAGAAAAGACGTAACCTTGTCGCTTGTCTGCTCGGAAGTAAAGGTGTCATGAGAATGATTCATCACCGAACGAGTACATAGTTTATTTCTTAACGACAATATACTATCCGTTCTTATCAGACGAAAAAAAAATTACGAATATATTTGTCATTCATCCGTGACACGAAAAAAACATAAACAAGATATATAATTAAAAGTTTGATTTTTTACTTCTCTTTTTCCGTCTGTGCGTTAAAAAGTATGTACAATTAATTAAATCTAAAATTTTATTCTTTAATTTTTATTAGAATTTTAATAATAAAATCTTCTAGTCCTTATAATATTTTTTTATGATATATGAGTATAAATTTTTGTTTTTGATCAATTTCACTCGTTTATATACTTGTCTTTAATTACACACATTTTGTGTTTTATGATATACTAGATTAATGTTCTTTCTATCATCGAGCAAAATCATGAAAAAAAATTATCATGAAACGACGAGACATATAGAGTACATATACATTTGATTCTCACTTTTACATACTAGTCATTACCTAATCTATAATGTTTGCTAGTACTATTCGATCTTCCAGATTGAATAATAATAATAGTCCCAGACGTAACTTTTATGTTTCATCTAAAATAGATCATCGTATAGGTAGAGGCATTCACATGTTTAATAACAATGGATATGGTTATTCATTTCGTTGGCATGGATTTATACTTGGTTGTTTAATAATTTTATTTTCTGCAGCTTTATTATCATCAGAACTTGGACGTATTTATACAGGCTCGATTAATCGTGGACGAAACGATTCTAATGTAACATATCAATATTTAATAGATGCTAATGTAGTCATTGATTTTAATGGAGATATTCGAAATCCTAAATCGGAAAATCGATGGATTTGGCCATGGTCAACAGCTACATTGTTATTTAGTCTTGTAATATTGCTAACTGGTGCATTGGGTATTACAAGTGGTGTTAGACAGAGTTACTCAACGATACTAACCTTTTTTGTTGGTTTATTGGTATCGATATTTTTATTGATATTTGTAATAGCAACCTATGGAACAATAATTGCTGGTTGGAAAGGAATTGATAACAGTAATGGTGGTTTTGTATCAAGTTTTGAACGTAATGATAAAAGTTTTGCAAGTGCTTGTTTAGCAATTTCATGTGTATTATTTATTATTCTATTAATAAGTCTTGTTCTATCTGGTAGAACTATTCATATATGTCAACAAAAAGATTATCCAAGACCAAATACACCAGGCTATACACCTATATCGGCACCGAATACACCTGGAGCTTTTCGAAGAACACCACAAATGCCACGTACGCCTCGTTTGTAGTTGTAGAAGATTAGAAAAATAAACAACTTGTAATATTCTTCTTTTTCTATTAAAATGTGTTTTAGAAATTAAAAATATCAAATATATAATTAGTAAACAGTTAGGGAGTCACATTTGAAAAAGCCATTATTAGACAACTGTTGAATAAAATATTTCTTATATAATTGATCTTAAAATTTCCAAAGAAAATATCCATCAATTTCAAATAAAGAACCATGTTATGCTGCTAATAGTCAAGTATATAATATCTATTGTTAAATGATATGACTTATGCCATAGCTATGGAGACGAAATCAAAATTATAAGATCTTTTATAAAAAGAGGAGAAGTTTAAAAATTGACAGAGATTGCTCTTTTACTATCATACATACAATAAAATATTATTTCTAACATTGAATTAGATCAAGGGAGAACAAACCGATTTTCATTCCAGAAATCAACTAGAAATCATGGGAAATCATGAAATCACTTTTTCCCCCTTGAATGTAACTAATAGATATCGAAGATTGATGAAATCAAAAATTTTAATTTTCGTAAAACTGTACATTAGAATACATTGAAATCATTTTTGATTTATTTCTTCGATTAGACTATTTCATCTCGAGGGTGAAATAACAAAGAAAATCTATTCATCTGCACGATTTCGTTGCTTGAAAATCAATGATAAACCTTTAGTATTATCTTATGCACCGAACATATAATAAAAAAGAGGTAAAAATTTCAATTAAATTAGAAAAAGTATTTTATTGATTTGATTTATGGTAATTTATAATTATATTGATAGACATCTAGCGGGCTAAAAGATATCAAGTACTTTCGAATAGATGCGTGAATTTTCATTGAACAATTTTTAGAAGAGTGTGTGAGAGTAACTTCCTTCTTTACCATCATTATCATCACACTAGTCACATCTTCAAGTATACTTTCTCTCAAAGAATCAGTAGTAAGTAATTTATTTTCAAAGCGAGAATTTTATTGATTGCTCAAAATGAATGATCTTATTTGCAACAGATCAGAGAAAAATAATTAAGCCTATGAAACTTTGTTATAGTGTTTTGCATTTTGAGTAATTGCAATACATATAGTTCTATGCATCCAGAATAGTTCCATAACTAGAAATATTATTATTAAAGAATGAATTACTGTCCAATGTATGAATATACTGGTGTATTTGCCAATATTATCCATAATCGCAATGTTTTGTTGAAATTCATAATATCGAGCGAACGTAAATAGCATTTCGTATCATATAATGTTTTATAAGCGTAATGTTTTTAGTAGAATAGTAAAATGTTAATGAATAAATAGAGGTTAATCATCGATAAATCTTAACAATGCAGGAGAACACTGACACTCTTCGAATTATAGTTAGCAACAATAATATCAGGCTTATTATCACTATTCACATCGACGACTGCTACTGATATTGGCTCAGAGCCAACTGTGTAATTAGTTTGAGCATTAAAGGTGCCATTGCCTGCGTTGAGAAGAACACCGACATTGTTCGAACCAAAGTCAGCAACAGTAATATCAGGTTTATTGTCGCTATTCACATCGACAACTGCTACTGACCATGGAGAAGAGCCAACTGAGTAATTAGTTTGAGTATTAAAAGTGCCATTGC